GGCCCAGGTTCATCCTTTGAAGCAGAGTTCCAGCCACTGCCCTCCCATGCATCAATGTGATCAGTCACCACCACCACCAAATATCCACACACTGGCATTTATGGCCCTTCATGTCATCGATGAACCTAAGCTTTCTAAATATCATCTGCTATTCTCTTACATTAATTTTACATTTTATTTTGTTTTTTGTTAAGAGACAGGGGTCTCACTGTGTTGTCCGGGCTCGCCTTGAACTCTTGGGCTCAAGTGATTCTCCTGCCTCACGCTCCTGAGTAGCTGGAACTACTGGCATGTGCCACTGTGTTCAGCTAATTTTATATTTCAACCAAACTAAACTTCTTGCTGAACATATACTAAGTTTTCTTCATTTGCTAATGTTTGTGGCCTTCAGATTACTGAAGCTTGTCTCTCCCTCATATAAGGTGGCACCAATTATGCCTATTTGATTTATGTATTCATCAATGTCCCTTTCAAATGCTGTCGATTCCATAAAACCTTTCCTGACAGTCCTAGTTAGATGTGATCTTCTTTTCTAAAATTCTCCATAACACCATATACCTCTGTTTAGACATTTATCCTAATTTCATTTGTACTCACTTATGGGAGTGTATTTGTTTTATTCCTGTAAGTCTGTGTAAAGCCCACCTATATGGGCTATATCTTTCCTATCTTTGAATACTCCTAAAGGCCTACCCTAGTAAACTGAAAAGCACTGGTATATAGTTAGTAAATTAGGCCAAGTTGAAAATTCCTAATTATACTGAGGTTTTCTGACTTACTCAAAATCCAACATCTAGTGATCCTGCCAAGTCAGGACTAGTAAAATCAATAATCTAGAGTGTGACCAGATTGGATCTAGTCTGAACAACCAAAATTCAAAAGCATATACGTTCTTTTATATACTGAAATATAAAAAGTTATACATTTTGAAGGTTTGAAGTCCAATTATTTGGCTCATAAATCCAGCACAAGCATTTAGTTTACTGAATCTCTTTGAGCCTCAGTTTCCTTGTAAGAAGGTAATAATAGTATTATCTACCCTGGAGGGCTGTTGTACAGACCAAGATAATGCCTGTCAAATGCTGAAATAAGGCCTTGTTTATAATTAGTGCTCCATAAACATCAGCTATTAATGGTACGATCATTGTTTTCATCAACACCACGTCTCAGCCAAATTAGCCACATTAATAATGTAAAGATGGTCCCAAAATTCTTTCACATTGAAGATCCTGCTAGAATATGGTAATCTAATTTGGGACCTGCCACTACACAGTAGTCACAAAAAACTTACAGAGGACTCAGAAACAGCAACTGTGGAGAATAAAGTACACAAGAATAATATCTAGGAGCAAAGATTAAAGAAACTGAAAATATATTGCTTTAAAAAAGGGTTTTCTGAAAGATTTCATATTTGTCTTCAAAAATATTTAGAACTCAGCAAATGAAAACGGTGACTGCCTGATTTTATTTCCAGTGAGAATATGAACTCCCATACAGAGTCAGCTTTTTAAAGTTATGTACAGCAAGGAAAAAATAAGTCTCAGTACCATATAGGAATAGACTACCAAGGCAGCTGTAGGGTCACTGAAAGATAGGATTTGTTTTGTAAGTCTGGAGTGATATAAATATGACCTCATTCAAATATGGCGGTGGGGGGGGTTCCACAGTCTTTCCCAGACATAGAACATGAATCTCCAGAGCTACCAGACCTTCTGACGGCACCACACACTCACCTGAGCTCTCGTCCAGACTCTCCTCAGAGACGTGCTCATTCTGATGGACCCACTCGCCATTGCACTTGAAGAAAATCTGCATGGCAGGCCTTGCTTTGCACCTGAGTGCAATAGGGTTGCTCTTGATAATATAAGCATCATCCGGCTCCTCTATGAAATGAGGCAGTGTCCCAGGAGCTGATGGGATGGATTCAGGAAGGGCCTCACCATTGTCAGTTCCTGCAAAATTGAAGAAGACATCAGAACACAGTCTACATGGACAGTACATAAATCAGAACACAGTGCTAACCCCACACCAGCTCTAAGAATCTGTGCTGGAAAACCGCATCATTTTAACACAGCACGCTTGTAAGACTTGAGTAGTTGAATGATCTTCCAGAAGCTGAACCAGCAGGATAGGGAACCTCCAGCTGGAGGCACCTCCAGTGTTATTGGAAAAATTATAATAAATGGGGGACTCCTTAAACTTCAGTTTTGAACTTGAGCTTCTCTGCAGAAGGAACTGAGATAAATATCAATGAGGTAAGAGGCTGAAACTCGAGATTCACTCTAGTGAGCCACAAGGGGTTCAATGAGGACACTAAGCTGCCTTAAAACTTTGAAAAAATGGTGAGATTAGATGTTGTTCTTCCACAAATGTGTGTGAATGAGAGTAATGATGGTAGAGGATTCTCAGTCATAAGATACATCCAAAACATTCTAAATTGTCCACTTTCTTTACCTATGAAACTCTGGAGTTAGTAATGATATTCTGCCTTGAATAACTCACCAACTTACCACTCTTCAAAAGGAACATAAGTTCATTCTGCTTCCCCTTGGCCCACACTCCTCCTAGCACTCCTCCACCATATACTATGGGTTGCACCACCAAGGGTAAGAACTAAAGCTAATCACTAAAACGGCTCTGAGCTTGAAGCTTTCATTATAGCCGTTCAAAGGAAAGGGACGAGCTGGGCATGGTGGCTCACGCCTGTAATCGCAGCATTCTGCGAGGCTGAGACCAGAGGATCACTTGAAGCCAGGAGTTCAAGACCAGGCTGGGCAACATAGTGAGACCCCATCTCTGCAAAAGAGTAAAAAATTAGCCAGGCATGGTGATGCACACCTACAGTTCCACCTACTCGGGAGGCTGAGGCAGGAGGATTGCTTCAGCTCAAGAGTTTGAGCCTGCAGTAAACTATGATCATGCCACTGCACTCCAGTCTGGGAATTAGAACAAGACCATGTCTCATAAAAAAAGGTGGGGGCGTAGTGGTGGAATAGATATGGTTCTCCCCTAACCGTAGGGAATTGATAAAGCAAGAGAACAAGAGAAGAGCTGGAGCCAAGACTTTGCTTCTTTGCCTCTTCACTACACTTAGGAAAGAACTCAAGTCCCAGGAAATGACCACAAAATCCAGGGCAGAGGAGTCTGACTGCCGAGCACAGTGGAGATGGCCAGGGGGAGTGGTATCTGGTTCCTCCCAAAGCCATTCCACTGAAAGAACAAAGCCAGCAAGGATTTCAATACCCAAACCAACTATGCCCTGGAGATGGTTGTTCCCACAGAGACCAAATCAGTCTCTGGGACTAAGCTGAGGAAAGCAACCTAGTGAACTCCTGGAAGAACAATCCTACCCCTCAGACCCAATTCCTGGGAGAGAGTGAGAGGGAGAGGGGGTGCAGCCTGTGCCCTAACCTGGCTTTTGTATGCCATCAGCGTAATTGACCAGTGCTTCTTACTACTCACTTGGTAATTCAACAACCCAAATCAATAAGCACTGTCAAAGGTAAACCTAATTCATTAACAGTAGTGCTAATGTTCTAAGAACCTATAAGGAGAATTCTCAAATACATAAAAGAAGGTGGGGGGCTCGGACTTTAAGAGTTATTTTGTATAACGAAGAAAATAAGAGACATTGAGTTATAAAAATGGTCTTTACGACTAGTGACACCCATGCACGATTCGCTACTGCAATAGCTTGATTCTCCCAAATAAGATTTTTTTTTTCCATTGAATCCATCAACTTAAGGAAAAAAAAAATAGCCTCACATAACAAAGAATTTAAAATACCTATAAATCCTGAAATGTATTTGCAATGATAAGGCTAACTCATATGTAAGTAATTGGAAGTATCAAAAAATTATAAAGCAAATACTCTAAAACAGTAAGGGCAAACAGTTTATGTCATAAAAGTATAATAAAGTCACTCAGAAAATAAAATGTGTATATATCACAGGGAGTAAGAGGGGTTTCGGGATAGAATCTTCAGGGGGTGTGTTTTTAATGTTTTAAATTGTATTTACAATGGAGTTCATAAAATATATCACATATTATTTTGTTACTGACTGCCCGTGCCAATTTCCATCTTCAACAAATACCGAGTTCCTGTAGGCTTCTGTAAATCCATGCATTAGAGAAAATGACAAAGGTATTAAAAGATTTTATATAGGCATCGAACACTCACACTCCCTTCAGGGGCTTTAGTTGTGTCCAGTTTACTGCTGCATAAAAGGGTCATCTGGCAAAGAATATGTCCCCAAACCTCTAGTGGCAGCCTGAGTGGACAGGCTCAGGCGTATGTTTTGAATGATGCATTTTTGCTTAACTAGTAATAATGCGTGAATGTTGTCTACAGCAACTATCTGTGTGGGCGAAGGGATGGGGAAGGGGCTATAAATAATGATCTCTAAGAAAGAAACCACATTTATCTAGCATAAATAAAATGCCAAATAAAAGAATAAAAGCACTAGATCATAAGATAAATCAAGTTTTAACCATCAAACTCACAAAACAGAACTAACAACAATTAGGTGACCCCTCCTGCCATTTCAATGAACGCTCTTCAGAGAAAGTGACAAGTTCAGCCTACATCTGAAACAGAGCGGGAGAGAAGAATGGAAATGTCTGAGACTAACTGTCCTGGCTATCCAGGGACCTCCCTTACAATGTCTTCATTTGTTTTAATAGAGACAGGGTCTTGCCTGTCACCCAGGCTGGAGTGCAGTGGCATCATCATAGCTCATGGCAGCCTCAAACTCCTGGCCTCAAGTAATTCTCCCGGCTCAGCCTCATGAGTGGCTGGGACTATAGGCGTACACCACAACACCTGGCTAATTTTTCTATTTTTCATAGACACAGGATCTCATATATTGCCCAGGCTGGTCTTGAACTCCTGGCCTCAAGCAATCCTCCTGACTCGGCCTCCCAAAGTACTGGGATTATAGGCACGAGCCACCGAGCCCAGCCAAGAATCAATTGTAATGTTCAGAGGAGAAAAAGAAAGGCAGAATGTAACGTTATGTCTTAACCACTATTGAAGCAACATCAAAATCAGGTATGCATTGGAAAAGGGCTTCGATCCAAGTAAACAAGAAACACACGAAAACAATTGGTTTATTAGGGTGGCAGTGAGAAGGTGAGAGATTGCAGGTATATAATTGTATATGTGTAACTGTTTATTTGCATCCTTCCAACAAATGAGGTAAGTGTAAAGTGGCTCCTTACCAGTGGGAACACCTCTTTTTAAATTTTGGGTGGCTCTGTATGTACCCTGAAGTGTTGGAAGTGGTGTTTATCCATATATCCATATCCAACACTGCTTATCCCTAACACCACTCTCCCCCACACCTTAACTCCAGGTGCAGCAAAGCTCTGCCCAGCAGGGGGCTCCCCCACAGCAAGAAGGCAGGATTTCCAGCCTCCCTGCAGGAGGACACCCCTTCCCTATCTCATAGGACCTGGTGTCACCTTCCTCCCCATCTCCCTCACCCCCGGGGATGCTACATGCTCAGCTCTACCTGGTGGTTTGGGACTGAATTCTTTAGGAAATTCTCAATTCCTCAAATAAAAGGGAAGAGAAGTGAAGAAAGAAGAACAGGAACTGAAGTGTAAATGTCTAAGGGGTTTATAAGTTGCTGAGAGATTCTGTTCTTTGGAACTGGGTGGAAGGAGGTCACTTACTTTAACAAACAGCTTTATGAGAGAGTGCATGAATGCTTTCTTGCCTCAAGGTAAATTTCCTTATAATTTCAATACATTTGCCCCCACTCCACTTTAGAATCTAGAGAAAAGCTTTAAGGTTGGGTGGCACAAATGCTGGTGACAGACCTTGCCAACTGCTTTCTCCCGCTGCCCCAGCAGATGCTGGGAAAGTCACGCATTCAGTGGAATTCCTTGCAGGTCGGCACGGTCAGGTGACATGGGTCTAGCACATGAGTCATAAACAGAAGCTTCCAAGAAAGCTTTTATTTTCCTGATAAAAGGGACAGGTGTGGTTGGTACCACTTGTTCCTGCGTTAGCTGGGGAAGATCGTGAGAAAAAGCATAAGAGGAATACCGAGGCCCCAGCAGGGACGTCGCCAAGAGCCTCAGTGAACACCAGGAAACATCCACCCCCAGATAATGTGTATGGCTTTTTAACAATGTCGGCTTATTTAAAGCCAGTGATAGATTTTCTGTTATTTGTGGCAGAAAACGTTCCTCATCGATACAGCTGCATCTTCCTGCTTAAAGCCGGAGCTCCAAGCTTCACTTAATTAAATCCTAATGCCATCAGCTGTTAAGGAAAGAGTTTTGGTAAGCTAAGAAACGTGGGAACTACGCTAGCACCAAGTAAAAAATAAACAGCTGCCATCTCCTAGTCCTGACAGGTCATGGCAAGAAGCCTTCTATACAGACTCAGTCATCTGAGCATCACGATAGCTCTCCAAGGTGGCTACTAGGAAGACCCTCATTTTGCATGTGAGGAAATGCTTCAATCGTGTATCTTGTCTAGGGTCACACGGCCAGTTAAATGGTGGACTCAGAATCTGAACACAGGTCTCTGACTCCAACCATCTCACAATTCCATCTCGGTTCCCACGGCTGGACCCCGAGAAGTCTGGTACTGTGATTTAGTGAGTGTCTGCCTTAGGGCCAGTTCATAAAACCATGACAGAAAAATGACACATTATCTGTGTTGCTTCTCACCACTTACAGGAAGTACGACATTTATGTTAAAGATCATTCAGTTACCTAATCAGCTGGCCTGGGATTCCAGGTCAGGATGGGGGTGCTATGGACGTACCCAGACACGGTCTTGCGAAAATAAGTATTTTTGAGAGAACAGCAAGTTAAGTACTCAACCAACTCTCATCCAACTAACTAGGCATCCTCAACACAGGCAGAAATAAGGAAGTCAAAGAAAAATTGTTTGGAAAATAAAATAATAAGAAGGATTGTTCAACATTTCATTTGG